TCCAGCTCTGACTTCAGCTTTGAGATCCCAGCTCTGAGATCTGAAAGCAGGTTTCTGGGTTTTTTTTTTTAGCTTCTATATTTGTTAAGATGTTTCAAACTGCAGGCTCAGAGGCCTGCAAGGCAGGCGGGGAATGTTGGTTTCCTCCATCACTGAAGCAAGCAAACCTCATGTTAGTTTCAAGCTGCCTGGCTGCTGGCGGCCATCTTGGCTGGCAGTTAATTTGCACATCGCCCTGATTAGCCAATGGGAAGGGTAGTGGACATATGGCTAATTACCATGTTTCTCTTTTATTAGATAGGATACTAGAGGCCTGGTGCACAAAATTCTTGCACGGGGCGGGGGGGGGTGTCCATCAGCCCAGCCTGCACCCTCTCACAATCTGGGAAACTTCAGGGGATGTTCGAATGCCAGTTTAGGCCCAATCCCGCAACTGGCAGTCCAACATCCCTCCCGCAATCCAGGACCGCTGGCTCCTAACTGCTCACCTGCCTGCCTGCCTACCTGATTATCACTAACTGCCTCTGCCTGCCTGCCTGATCACTCCTAACTGTTCACCTGCTTGCCGCGGCTTTGTCTGGAAGGACATCCAGAAGGTCGTTCAGCTGTCTAATTAGCATATTACACATTTATTATTATAGACTAGAGGCCTGATGCATGAAATTTGTGCAAGAGTAGGCCTTCTTTCCCCCCACTGCCAACTCTGGCTTCCCTCTGGCACACGAGACTCAGGCTTCCCTCCGGCCGCTGACAGGCACCGGGGCCTGGGCTTCCTTTGCAGCCCTGGCTTCATCCAGAAGGTTGTCCGGTCTAATTAGTATATTACACTTTTATTATTATAGATTTTTCAAACCCCACTCTCATCCCTAGCCAGTTTGGCTCAGTGGACAGAGAATCAGCCTGAAGGGTTCAGGGTTCATTTCTGGTCAAGGGCAGGCACCTTGGTTGCAGGCTTGATCCCTGGTCAAGGTCAGGAGGTGTGCAGGACACAACCGATTGATATGTCTCTCACACTAATGTTTCTCTCTCTCTGTCTCCCCCTTCCCTTTCTCTCTCTAAAAATCAATGGAAAATATATCCTTGGGTGAGAATTCAAAAAATTTTTTGATCTGAAAAACAAACACCAAAAAACAAACCCATTCTCATATTTCAGGATTCCCTAGGATTTCCCTGGGGTTCAAAACTATGTTCCCAAAGCTCCCCTTTCAGTCTTCCTGAAGGTTGTGGATTTGGCTGAGGTGAGAAAGCAGCTTCTGGCCATCCCACTCCCCAGCCCCCTGCACAGGAAACAACCTGCTGACAAGACCTTTACTAGTGCCCCAGAGAAAGGTCTAAATTTCCACAGGTAATCTCTCATCTGTCTCAAGTTTTGAAGATGGCACTAGGCAGACCATCGAGTGCCTCAGGTTAGAGAACTACAGCAAGTATAGCTCTTACATATTAATACAGGGTAATTTTACAAATGTCTTTGATTACATATATATTTCGCCTAATTGTTATCAATAATATTCTTTATAAATGAGCCATATTTTATAAATAAGAACACAAAGGCAAAACCACACTGGAATTCAGGTCTTTTAACACTTGGTCCAGTGATCAGTCCACTTTATTACTAATGCTGAAATAAAAATTTAGCCGTTACTATATATGTAGTTCTATAACCCTAAAATCTCTCATTTTTTCTAATTTCTGTCCTAAAAAATAATATAAATATGAGTTACTAATACTATTAACATGCTTAACTTGTAAATAATGTAAAAATACAGAAACATGAAGTATTTAAGTATATATATTTTTTTAAACATTTCTCCTACCTCAGTAGTACATGTGGCTGAAGTTATTTTCTTCCAAGTAACTGATACTTTACCTTCATTTAGTATATTTAAATAATAAATACGTAGACAATTACTATAGAAATTACTTTATGTGCAAATAACGTGTTGACATTCTACCCATAAATTTGATTTTCCCGAAAACAATTAGCTTTTGAAAAGAAAAGCTCACACGTTTTAAGAGGCTCTGGATTCCCCTGCTTCTAAATCATTGTTGAGTAAAAAAAAAAAAGGCCTGTTCTACCAGGAATCTCAAGTTAGAATGTTCTCCAAAGTGAAATGAGAGCAGAGTGCCATTCAGGAACAACTATTCAGCACTCACCCCAACCTCCACAAGTCTTTCCAAGCAGGTCAACCAGGTCAAAAGAGTCCAACAGACTTAGGCTTCAGCGTGAAGCCATATGTGCTTCTAATGTGTTAATAAACCAAAACATGAAATACTGAAATCAAAATAAGAGATATGAGTACTTGAGGCTAATTATCATGCAGATTGTTAGTTCCTTGTCATATCCCTCCTTCTGTAGAGTTAATAAAGGGAAGATTTTTACTGCAAAGAACATTTTATTTTATATAACACTAGCCATGAATATTTGTCATCAGTTACTACATAAATGCTGCCTGGTGCCATTATCCAAGTGGCACCATCATTTTATGTCCACAATTCACTTGGTATTTATAAAATTTTCATAATTTACATAAGTACATCTATCATTGAAGATTTTACACTGAGATGCAATCTAGCATCCATATTGTCTGATATTTTACAGATAGTAATGTAGAAGAAATGTATTTTTAATCACCTTTTCATCTGAGTCACCTTATGTAAAAAATAAATCAATAACTTAGAGCATCTAAGTCTCTAAAGGAAATTCCCAATGTGCTCATAGAAATGGTTAAACTGGATTGTCAGAAACAACTTCCATGGCCACATCCTCTTGTAGTTTATGTACCATTCTGTCTTCCAACTGCTTTCCTTTGCCTTAAAAAAAAAGAAAAATTAAAAATTTTATCAACTCAATGTGACCTTACAGAACTCAACACTTTATAAAATAACATTGGCAATTTCTAAGATATTTAAGAATAGTAAATAAACTTATACAGATCTTATAATATGCCACACATTAAGGATTCTACTTACATTTGCTCATTTCACCCTCATAACTACTTGTATTTTATTTTATTTTAGTTATTGCTTTGAGGGGGTGAGGGAGGGGGGGAGAAAAGGAAGGAGGGAGAGAGAGTTATAGAGAAACACTGATCTGTAATTTCACTAATTTATGCATTCATTGGTTGATTCTTGCATGTGCCCTGACCAGGGATCTAGCCCACAACTTTGAAGTATCAAGACAACACTCTAAACAACTTAACAACCCAACCAGGACACATTTTAAAGAAGAGAAAAGCCCTAACCGGGTTTGGCTCAGTGGATAGAGCGTCGGCCTGAGGATTGAAAGGTCCCAGGTTCAATTCCGGTCAAGGGCATGTACCTTGGTTGCGGGCACATCCCCATTGGGGAGTGTGCAGGAGGCAGCTGGTCGATGTATGTCTCTAACTCTCTATCCCTCTCCCTTCCTCTCTGTAAAAAATCAATATAATATATATAAAAAAAAAAAAAAGAATAAGAAGAAGAAGAGAAAAGCTGAGGCACAGGGACAGGTGAACTTGCCCAAGATCCCTCAGTTGGTAAGTCCAGTAAGTCAAAGTGATGGAATTTGAACCCTGGCCCTCATGGATCCATGGTCCCTGCTCTAAACACTGTACTACCAACCTCAGAGGGTTATCTAAAACTTAGATAACAATGTTTGTAACATCTGTATGTGAAACAAATGCTCCACGATTCTATTTTGTTTTAATAAAATTTGGTACAAAAACAACCAAAGTACAACTTTAACACAAATCTACTCACTATGTGCTTACAGAATTTGACCTTTCCTAATAAGCTGTAGGCATGGGATCATTCAGAAATCAAGTCTGCAACTAAATCTCACCAAAGTACTTGGTGCCAGCTGAGTAAAAGGCTGGTTTTCTCACACCTCACAAAGAAACTGCACAGACAACTGTCCAAATGAGTGACTACCAATCCAATATAATAAAAGCCTAAAATACTAAGTGTCCCACCATTCATTCAACCGTTCAACCAGTTGCTATGACACGCACTGACCAACAGGGGCAGATGCTCCAACTGGTAGGTTAGCTTGCTGCTGGGGGTCTGGCTGATCGGGACTGGGCGAGACGGACCGGACACGCCCTGGAGCCCTCCCGTGGTCCTTTCCCGGGCTCTGATCATACACTGGTGGGGTCCTGGATTGCGAGGGTGCAGGCCAGGTCAAGGGACCCCACCAGTGCACAAATCCATGCACCGGGCCTCTAGTAAGTTACATAAACACAAAGAGAAGGTTTTAATACAAAACTGTAGTTCTCAAAACTTACATTATCAGAATTGCCTGGAGACCTACTTAAAGAACAGAGGGCCAGAGTCTCTGTGTTTATGCTAAGTTCCCCAAGTAACTCCAATACTGACCCGTCTGAGAACCACTAACATAGAACACTATCCTTTAATAAAAACAGGTATGAGGCAAAACTATCTATGAAATTATTACTCAACTCATTTTGATTAACTTGGAGAGATAACTTACAGAAAATAAGATTTTATGAAGGAGAAAAAAAATGTAAAAAAAACTGACTGAAACTGGGAAATATACTGAATAACTTGTAACTGTTTAACCAAGTCATATCATAAATGTTCTGAGATAACATTTACATGAAAAAATACTCAACCTTAAAGAGCTAACTGATACCAAACTACATAGACCACAAAAATCTAGGTTTTTCATCTCTCTGCGTAAAGCAGAAAATTCCTACGCAATGCTTTACTTACATGCAAAAGGTGCTCGGATGAGATGGATGTTTTGCTTGACTTCTTTGATGTCCTGAGCTTTCTGTAGTTCTTTATTTTTCTTCAACCTAGGGTAACAACATTTAAGGCCAGAATTTTAGTTACTAAACCTTTAGACTGTAATTTTTAATTAATCTGTAATTTGTAAAAATAAAATTTACTAATAAGCCATATAGATGAGGAATGGGAACTCAATTATTTTCTAGTTACAAATTAGATTAAATAGGATTCCTACACTACAAACTTGTTCATTCAGTATACCTAGTGCCTAATAAAATGAGGATTCAATATATATTAGTGGAGTAAATGAAGGCATGAGATTGAAGGAAGAAATTAAATTTCAGAAATCAATGTCTATTATATACATGTAGTGCAAATCTTAGAGCCTAGATCGTCTCTCCTCAAACAGAGAACAGTCTCTGTTACCTAATATTTTAAAAATAATTCAGTAATTATGAGAGACAAACTCATAAGACATTCAACAAAAAACTAACAGACTTGTTCCCAAATATTTTGGCCCCTTCTCTGCAATGCGTTAACAATCTTTTAAAGCTAAAAAGCTGTTGGCACATGCTTCTTTTCTATGACAGCCTGCCATAGAGACAAGAATTAAAGTAAATGTGGCAAAATGCTAACAGAATATGCAAGAGTTATTTATACTATTCTTACCGGTTTTTGTAAGTCTGAAGTTAGGTAGGGGAAAAACATGCCTCTAAAGGTCTACTAGCAATTATGTTTCCAAGAGTTACTCTACACATATATGCATACCTGTTCATTATAAATTTAGCTTGACGTTTCTGTTTGATCTCTTCAACTCTCTTCATTGCATCGACTACAAAACAATTCATAGGAGTTAGCAAATTATTCACATTCAAGCAAGAGCTTTAACAATAACTTCTTTATTCTTTATTCTGATTTCGAAATTGAATAAATGAAAAACTCATTCTTTTAAAAAACCCTACTAAAACAGCTGAGGTACCCTTTGCTGACATCAGTTAACTATTTTTTACAAGTGTCATTTCTCTAAGTTTTAATTTACAAAAGCTACTAAATTGCTACTAAAATTGTCCTTCTATAGTAAAGCAGTCTAATGGTTTTCAAATTTTATTCTACAGAGAACTCAGATTAATAGCAGCTAATACCATTCTCAGCTTGTCATCTCCATAAATGAAAGACAGCACCTTTCTGGTCATAAAGACCAGTTTTCCTTCAAGTGCCTGGGAGATAAACAGCACATTACGAATACTGGTAAAATGAACCAGTCAGCCAATTGTACCACATTCTCAACCAATAAAATCCAACTGTTTTTGGAAAATGTGTACAGAAGCTGAGTCCAGCTATGCTCTAATATCTGTATCAGCACAATCCAATGTAAGATACACCACATATGTAATTTTAAATTTCTAGCAGACACATAAAAAAAAGGTCAAATTAAGTTTAATGATATATTTTGTTTCACCCAACATATCTAGAAAATTGTCATTTCAACATGTAATCAGTATAAAAAATTGTTAGACATTTTATGCTTGTTTTCATACTAAGTCTTCAAAAACCACATGTATTTTGTATTTACAGCACATTTCAATGCAGACTAGCCACATTTCAAGTACTTAGCAGACCCTGTGGCTAGTAGCTACCATACTGGACAACATACTCCCAATCTAGCTTCTTAAATTATAGTCTGTAGAGAGAAGTATAGCAAGATAGTCACAGTCTTAAAGTATCTCCCCAGAATAGAGTTATTAGTTACAAAGGGCAAAACACAAACTTCACAGTGTGGCAATCTGGCAGACACCCCTTTAGCCAAAGATCAACGTTAGCATTGCCAGTAATAGGACTGATGAACAGCAGGTGTCTCCTGACAGGACCATGACAAGAACTTCCCATTACTTTAAACCAAATACCTGGCCTATATGCTTCAAAATGGTCAATTTCGTGAAATATGAAAATAAACTCAGCAACTGTTCCAAACTGAATGAGACTAGAACAGACAGGACATGTACTATTCTAGCAACTTTTGCAATAAAAGATATTGGGACAATTAGAAAAATCTAAACAGGTCTATGATTAAATGATACTACTGTATCAATGTTAATTTCTTGATTCTAATAATTACACTGTGGTTTTATGAGAGAATGTCCTATTTTTAGGAAATACATATCAAGCTATGTAGGGACAGAGGAGTGTAATGTTTGCAACTTAAACAGTTCAGAAAAAAAAGTATAGAAGGAAAGGAGAGAGAGAGAGAAGAAAAGGTAAATTTAATAGAATGTTAACATTCAGGGAATCTGGATAAAGGTATCAGAGAATTCTACTCCTGCCACTTCTGTTTAATCTGAAATTATGTCAAACAAAAGCTTTCTTTCCAGCAACATTGGCATAACCTGGGAGTTTGTTAGAAATGCAGAATCTTAGGTCCCACCCAGACAAACTGTATCAGAATCTGCATTTTAATAAGACCCCCCAGAAGGCCCCATGGTGCCTCTGGCATTAAGATGATGTTTATATGAATAACTCTAAGACAATGTCAACTCTAAATGTGCACATGCTGTGGCTTAAAATAATACAAGATGCGGTAAAAGTAGGTTTACAGTTGTTTCTACTGAAAATACATTAATTAATAAATAATAAAAGAATAAACTATTTCGCATACTCACAACTGTAAACTTACTTTTGCTCTACCCTGCATGCTTGATATGTAACTTTTTTCCTTCTTTCTTTGCCTTTCACAGCAAAAATGATACAGGCAAGTTCTACTATTCCGAAGCACTTTCATACCTTGAAGTTACTCAGAAGGGAACTAACACAAGGGGCAGGTATATCCTTTCTAATAATCAGATACTGCATTTCTGGATATTCCAGAAGACTGAAAACTTTTAAATAGAAGCATCTAATAAATACTAAAAATTGGTCTGCAATACAGAGATATGATGGATAAAATACAAATTATTCTTCCTATTATTACTGTTTTCAAACTTCTCCTACTGCTGTTTCTGTGGATATCCACTTCTTAACCAAGATTGCTCAGTCCACATCTCACACAATTCGATAATATAAGCAATAAATATAAAACTATTGTCAACTGGCTAGTTTACAGACAAGATGATATTGAAATAGGGAGTGTGGGGAATCAAGAAATCTTTTAAAAGAATATCTTTTTTCTGGAACACTACTAACAGCTATTATTGTGTAAGCCAGCAGGAAATAGTTTGAAGTTCCAAAAGACTCATACTGTCTACCCAGGAGTTCTTCGGAAAGTCTATTTTTAAGACCCCAATACAAAAGGACATCAGAATCTGTGTAGGAAAAAAATACTCAATAGAGCACTGCTTCTTACAGAACTTGCAGAAGTATAACCAAGTGGGCCAAGGGAATGAGACTGTGATCATAGCGGAACCAATTAACATCGAACAGAAGCAGTGAAATCGGAGAACTCAGTAAGATGCACGAAGAGGGCAGGGACTGTGTGCACCCTGTTCATCTTCACATGCTTGAGTCAGCACTTACTGTTCAAGTATCAGAGTCTCACAGAACACAACATTATTTCTGGCGATCAATGTAACACAAAACCAGCATGGAGGGTCATAGAACTGAATATCCACATCCGACTAAAATAAGATATGCATCTGTTTCAACATCAAGCTGAATAACCATTAAATAACAGCAGTTATAAAATATGTCAGGGTGATATGCAGCTACTGTCGTCAAGGAGTAAAAAAAGAGAAAACAAAGGCCAAAGTGAAATATATCCCACACTCACCCAACAAAGTATTCTCTCTCTCTTTTTTTTCTTCAGATTTCTGGGTGTTTTGTGTGTGAGCACTTCAAATATTATCAAATTTAATTACATTATTTTTATAATGGACACATCAGCCACTTGGGGAAAGGATTTTGGGTAGCTTATGAAAATTCCTGGCATTCCCTTGTGACTTACTTGTTTTATTCCACAGTTCTCGCTGGTATTTGATAGGTTCATTTCTGCGTTTTTCAAATTCAAATGAATTATCCTGTAAGAGGGGGACAGATATGGTTTTTACAGAGGTACGAAGGAAAACATTTAAAATTTATTCTCCTTTTCATAAGCATTCAGAATGTATTAAACTATGGACACACATTAAGATTCCCCCCAGGGTGATCCCAGCAATACAAGTTTTTAAACCTTTTCTCCTTTACAAACCGCGATGTACAAGACAGCCCTACTGAAAACATTTCTCTCTATCCAAGTGATTGTCAAAGGGAGGGAAGGGAAGAGCCCAAACCCCATTTCTCAGGAGAGGCATATAACACTCGTGGGATCAAACAAATTGAAAAAGCTTCCCTAACTTCCCACTCCTACATGAGACTCACAGTCAAAAAATTTTGTATTAGGCTGAACCATATGAAATTACCATTTTTCATAGAAAAAAAGAGTCAAACATTGAGAATTTCATGTGGTTCAACCTAAATACCCATCATGCTTATACATTTGAAGACCTATACACCTTTGTGTATAAAGCTATGAAACTACACATCTTCAAATCAATGTAATGCTACTCTACATGACATAAGCTTTGCCCTGAATTCTTCAGGTCCTTTCTAAATGTAGTTGGTATTTTGACAGTTAATAATCCTATTTATCTTAAAACATGCAAAACAATTTTGGAAAAACTACAGGTATTTATTGGTTTCCATATCTACCTAACAGGAATATGGAACAGCACTAGCTCTGTGTCTGGCTAGTTTATTTATAATACACACGACTCTATTTAGTTCACAATAACATCAACCATGACAAGGCACCAGCAAGTGACTGGGACTGGTATCCTTTCTTCATTCATATAGCTGCCACCTACAATTGAAGTGCCTGTTTCTTCTTGCCATACTGAAAATTACTTTTGTAACAGTAACTATAATTTGGCCTTGCATCTTGTCAAAAATATTCATTACATTCATTGAAAACCTCTGGTTTTGTTAAGGAAGCCAGCAAAGGGCTTCATGGCAATTCTTAGATACTGCCCTTAAGGAGTAGGGGGGTGGGAAAATATGGATTTGGAGGAAAAGGAAGTCATGCAGGGCAGGGACAGTTTATCAGTGGTTCTCGACCTTTTGGCCCTTTAAATACAGTTCCTCATCTTGTGACCCAACCATAAAATTATTTTCATTGCTACTTCATAACTGTAATGTTGCTACTGTTATGAATCGTAATGTAAATATCTGATATGCAGGATGGTCTTAGGCGACCCCTGTGAAAGGGTCGATCGACCGCGCGACCCACAGGTTGAGAACCGCTGGTTTAGATCTTCCTCCCTCAAGGGTAGCCTGTGCAGCAGCGTTCAGCTCCTCCCTTTGAAGGGGCTGAATGTGGACAAGCTTCCCCAGATCCTTTGACCAATTCAGGAATAGCAGCAATATGATGACAGGGACTCACACACGAAATTCCCTCCTCACAACAATACTATGAACTAATTTCTCCGCTACCAGACACAAAGTCCTGCTAAGGAAATCTGTACACTGATAAGTGAATCTATTACAAATCTCATCTGAGCCCTCACTGCTGTTTAAGAATCCTTTAATTAATTTCATAACGTCCTCTCAAAATCCCTAAGCAGCCATTTCCAACTCTACCCTTTTCTTTGCAAGAGCTAAAAATAGTTTTTTGAGAATAAGAAAAATCACTTCTACAAACTGGATCACAAATTTTTTTTCCTTTTCAGAATTCTACAGATTTATGGATTTTAGGATCATGTGAGAATTATTACTATAACCAAATACAAAAAAGTCATTCATCAATCATGCTGTAGGAAGCTTTGTTATAGTTAATTAAATCATATAACCGCCCCCCCCCAATAAAAACCTGAAATTTTTAAATTGTAAAAACTATACTCACCACTGTGAGCTCTTTACCGGCTGCTTTACGGAAAGCTTTAGTCCACCTGACCTTGCGAGGATTGCGCTTCTTTTTAAAGTTTTTATGACACTTGGATTTACAAAACCTGAACACCTACAAGAAAAGTTAAAATAGTGAGAAGTCAATATTAGAGTTTTTTCTATCACAAGGTATTACCCCTCCCAGACAAAATATACTCTAAAGTCTGAGAAATGACAATGTTTCTCACGCACAATTGCTTCTATTACCATACTACTAAGGAATATATATGGACATGCCAGATTAAATAGAAATTGAACTATTTTTTTACTATCAAGCTGAGGACCCTGAAAATATGGTTAAAAACTACCATTTTTATAAAACAACAGTAAAAACCTTATAATGATCTTGAATCAGAAATAGTTTTAAGGAGAGTCATTTATTTAAATCACTTCCCATTTCAGAATAATTCTCAAAATTCACTTTCTATATACCTCAGTAGAGGTAAAAGTTTCAAGCCACCATCCAGAAATCTCCTTTGGTTCTTTCCATCCTTGCACAAAATAATTTCAAAAAGCAACTAAAACTGGCTATAGATTTGTTTTCTAAAATCTACTTGGAAGAATCTTCATTACTACTTTAATTCTCCACCTTAGTAATGCTTACAATTTAAGGATGCCTCAATGTGCTCCAAAATGGCTTATAGGGACTCATTGCGTAAGTCTAAAATGCATTATTTTGTTACTTTGTAATGTCTTAAAACACATTACAATTTGTGTGTTACCAAAAGAAATATGAGGAGAAAAAGTCATTTTTTTGAGTTAAATAATCACAACCAAGAACAGGTAACCCACTTTCAAAAATAAATCAAAATGAGTTATAAACATTTCAAACTTAAATAAGGCAAAATACTTGCAGATGTCACAAGCCAAAATACTTTTCATTTTATATATACTTTCTTCTATGCGGAACTTCAAGCAGATCATTATACACATGAGGACGTACCTTTCTTAGAAATGGTCAGTACTAGGTTAATCTGATCTAGGCTCATACCTCCCGGAGAGCCCTCTTCAGAGAGACATGGATGTTTATCTACATTCTTGAATTCATTTCAAAGTAACAAGAAAATATGAGAACTACTGTAGTCTCCTGGAGTAACTCACTATGACATCATTATCAGTAAAATTTCTTTGAGCATTTCCAGGCCAAAGTATTATAACCTTTTTAAGTAAAAGCCTCCTGTGTTTAATACTTACTAGGTAACTCCTAGACATATTCCCATTTCTAAGGTATGTCTAATGAGGGCTTTGAACTTGTCCTGGGTATCCTCAACTCCAGAAAGAGCCCATGCGAAGTTACAGGGAAGTCTATTTGAACTCCAAACCTACAGACATTATCTGACAAGCACAATAAAATATCTGAAGAGGGGATGGGGATTCAATCAGCAAATAAGGTGCATCTACTATGCGCCTGCTGTTATACTAGGTATAGGGATACAAGAATAACTAAAACATAAATCCCCACCTTGAGAACTTAGGCTAGCAAGCTAAGTATATAAAGTCTCACTTTGCATATAAGAGAGACTGAGATCAGACTAGGATATAAAAAATGGTATAAAGCTATATACAATAATCATGTATAAAATAATACGAAAAAAAACACAATAAGGTGGTTAAATCTATAGTGGAGTAGGTGGTGGATGGATTATGTGTGAGACAAAGCTTTGAAGGCTCAAGTTTCCCTTTTAATCTTGTCCTCTATCCGTGGTTGGCAAACCTTGGCTCCCGAGCCACATGCGGCTCTTTGGCCCCTTGAGTGTGGCTCTTCCACAAAATACCACGTGTGGGCTCGCACGTAGTGCGATCGAAACTTCATGGCCCATGCGCAGAAGCTGGTATTTTGTGGAAGAGCCACACTCAAGGGGCCAAAGAAGCTGCATGTGGCTCGCGAGCCATGGTTTGCCGAGCTGCAGTTTGCCGACCACTGCTCTAGATCATCCTACCTTCAACTCACAACAAATGATCCATCAAATCACACCTCAGTCCGTTGACCTTTTCTTATTCCTCCAACATTTATTAAGCACTCAGTAGGATGTATATATTTTTCCTGTTTATAAACTATGTGAAAATATGGAGCATTATTACTAATTCTACCTTTAAGAAGCTACCTAAGAAGTGTAAGCAGGGAAGTCCCTATTAAAGATGGTCTAAAAGCTAAGAGCATAAAGGCAGAAAGACTAGTTAGGAGGCCAGAAAAATGACAGGTGCCGAACCTGGAACCAGGGCAGGAAAAGAGAAAGCAGACGCCACTCACTATCCGCTGCAAAGGCAGAATGAATAGCACTCTTAACAATGAGATACAAAAGGTGACCACTCACTATCCGCTGCAAAGGCAGAATGAATAGCACTCTTAACAATGAGATACAAAAGGTGAAAGATTCAAAGATGACTTGCATTTCCAGCCCAGCTGTCTAGCAGATGAGAGAGAGATTAATTCAGAGAGCAAAATGATCTGAGGCAGTAAGGCACCCTCCTTCAGTGGGCTCACTGTTAGGTACCAACAGGATCACCCTGTCGGGTGGAAAGTTCAGACCTGGAGCTAAGGAGATGCAGATCTGGGACTCATCAACACAGATAAAATGAGACACCAGCAGGCCCACTATATGGCACTTCACTAGATGGCACTTCTTCTGCGCTTTTTTACCAGAAGATTAGACTCACCTCATGGTGGTGGTCTGGGGCCGAACCTACAATGTCGCCAAGGTGTGCCTGTACTTTTCCTGCATTAGTGCTTCAGGGTCTCCACCACTTCTAATTTCCCCAATGGATCTGTTCTGACCCACTGGTCTCCCCTCTCCTTCCCTAGGACTACCCACCTCACCGACCTGAACTTCCCACGTGTCTGTCAGATCAACATCCAGCTCTAGAGCGCTGCTCCCACGTCTGTGGTTCTAATTCCAACGCCCAGCGGACAGGCACTGCTGGACAAAGACCATAAAATATGACGACAGATCATCTACAAAGCCATACTGCCCACTGTGAATTTGACTCCAACCTGGCAATGATTCATTTTATACTTTAGTCACCTTCCTATTGCTCTTTCAAGTACCCAAACACAGATTTGGTCTCTCACTTTCAGGAAGAACCCTCGCTCCTGATGCAATGAGCTCAGCATCTTCCATCTATAACAGAGAGAGAACGCAATGAAGTAGGAACTGAAATACCTTGTCAAAATCACCTCCAAATGCATGTATCCTTCACAAAGTCTTTCACAACCAGCCCTTACGGTGTATCTATGTGTGTGCCATCTTATGTTTACAGACTAATCTTTCTGCAAATACTCTACCCCAGGCCTCTATTTCCACCCAGGATGCTTCCATCAACCTCCACACACTATGGACAGTCCCAAGGCTGATGCACCTCCACGCTACGGACATTAGCAACGACGCCCGACGGGGCACACGTTCAGCAAAGCTTACGAGCTGTAGAGCGGCCACGCTGCCCCGCGGGCCCCGCTTCCCCGTCGGGGCCCGGCTGCCCCGCTCCTCCTGCACCTCCGGACGCCCGCCAGGCGCAACTCCCCAGGCGGGAGGTGGAGGCCGGAGCCGAAGCAAAGCCTCCCTCTCTCCGGAGGGGAAAGCGGGGACCCCGGCCGAACGCCGCGGGCGCCGCGGTGCGCTCCGACCCTGGCCAGCTCACCTTGCAGTCGTTGCGGACGAACATCATGCCGTGGCCCGGGTATATGGGCCCGGAACAGAAGTAACACTTCTCTATACGCATGTTGAACGCGCGTGGGGACCCACCATCCAGACGCCGAGCGTGAGAGGAAGTGACGTAGCTCCGTCACAGGAAGTGGTTCTCTTCCAAGTCCCCGACCCGGAAGAAGCGAATCGGCTCCAGGTGATTCTTGCCAGTGTTACAAGATCTGGCATATTTGAAAAATTGGAAGAAATCTTGGGGCGCAGGCGCAGAGCTGCGCGCCTGCCTCGCCGCCGTCTGTGGGGAAAGCGAAGCGTGGCTGTGCGCTGGCGGCCGAGCGCGCTCTCACAGCGCCGCGTTTTCCTCTACCGCGCGCTGCAGCGGCGCCCGTGCTCGTCTCTGGTTTGCGCTTTGCCCCAGGGGTCTTTTTCCCCGCATCGGGTTGCCCTACAAACTCATTTCTCCAGCCCCTTCCGCAGACCCGCCCCAACCCTCCTGCCTGGCGCCCGCTGCGGAACCTCCGCCCCCTGGGGCGCTGGACGGCGCAGTTGAGTCTCTGAGGCTCGGTGGGTTTTAAGGTTTTACCAGCAATTTTTAAGAGACTTGTTGTGCTGTTCTCCATCTTTGCGTCGGCCCCCTTTTAAACGATATACATATGTGGCAAAAAAACACACCAAAAAACCTAAATCCAAACATTTTCACGGAAAGCTAAGGTTGCTTCCCCAGAGCTCAGTACTCCTCCCCAGGGACAATCAGGTCCTTTAGTACCTGCCAGAGGTTTTCTGTGCAGAGCCAAACATCCTATATAATAAAAGGGTAATATGCAAATTGACCAAATGGTGGATTCACTGGTCACTATGACACACACTGACCACCAGGGGGCAGATGTTCAATGCAGGAGCTGCCCCCTAGTGGTCAGCACACTCCCACAGGGGGAGTGCCACTCAGCCAGAAGCTGGCTCAAGGCTGGGAGTGCAGTGGCAGTGGCAGGAGCCTCTCCCGCCTTGTCAGCAGCACTAAGGATGTCCACTGCCGCCTTTGGCCCACTCCCTGTGAGCCGGCCTAAGCCGT